GGTATCAAGCACGTACCCAAGTAGGTTTTATTATCATAAAGCCTTTAACATTTGTACTAATTAATTAAGGTTTTTAGTTGAGATGAAAAAAAGTTAATGGCACGAGCGGGAATCGAACCCACGATCTTCGGCTAGATACGCCGCTGCTCTACCACTTGAGCTCGATCCACTCGGACACCAACTTCCCATCTCAACCTACAACCGCTAGAATTTTCCCTCCTTTTTGCCATTTTTCAAATGTCGTGTAATCGGATTGGATTCTCGACGACAAATGAAATCGAGAATCACGATAGCTCAAGTGGTAGAGCAGCGGCGTATCTAGCCGAAGATCGTGGGTTCGAATCCCGCTCGTGCCATTAACTTTTTTTCATCTCGACTAAAAACCTTAATTAATTGTAATGTATTAATTGGTCAAGCGGACCACGAAATTAGTGAATTTGTACTAATGAAAAGCCTAGAGCGGCTTTTTAATATACATTATAAAATAAATCATAAGTGCGCACTCACTCTCACCTAAAACCTTTAATATAAATACAGAACAAGAAAAAACTATTTACCTTTTTCAAACACAAACAAGTTTTTAAAATAATAAGCTATACGGAAGAATAAGAAACTAGTCTTGCAGTATCAAAATTTTAATTCTACAGATAGACTAATCTGGATTGATTATGGTGCAGAATGAAACTTATTGTCATTAGTTTTTCGTATGATGACTATTTTTCGACATGACAGAATCGTTAGTCAGACAGGTTCATATTTGTCCCATTTTAGTGCCACTATCAGTTTTTCCAACCGCTCCAGCTCAGTGTTCTCTGTCGACATGAGAAAAATCTCCTGTTTGACGTCTTAAAATCAAAAAGGTCGGACGTCAAAACCTTGACTTTAAGCTGAAAAAAATTCTCGTCGATCTAATCGTTGTCAAGTTATACATCCGAGGTCTGCAAAGAACATACTTAACTGATGTAAATAAAATCAAACTAGATAATTCATTCGATCATAATGTTTTTCTTGTACTACACATAAAATTTTGTTATTGATTTCTTTAAAATAAATAATAATAAACTTTAGAGAGTTCACAGTGGAAAATCCCGTTACAACTTAGTTAATAATTAAGCAGTTTACGCTCTCGCCTGTAGAATTTGGTCAGGCAGTACAGATAAAAACTTATCACAAGTCCTTTTTAAAAAGATAGTTCCTACTCAAAGTAAGTTGTTTTGCAAAGATCCGGATTTCGAACCCTTTAGCTCATCATCAGGTTGAAGGGAATGAACCTGAACAAGGTTGATGATGAGCTAAAGGGCTCGATATCCGGACGTTGAAAAACAACTTACTGTGAGTAGGAACTATCTTTTTAAAAAGGATTGAATACCACACTCACTCCATCATTCTTCATTTCTACTTATCACAAGTTGTTAAAGAATTAACTCGATCGATATTTCACCTATTTTGTGCTGAAACCCCCTTCCTATTGCTTCATTTTATTCCTTTTTTGACGTTGTACATAAGTAAGACTTCAGCCAATTGTTTCTTATGGGAATTAATGCCAGAATTAGAAGCAATTGAAATGCGGGAAATGATGAATGAGTGCAGTGATGAGTGATAAATTAATCTATAAAAAAAACGTAAAATCCTCAAGATCATTTTTATGCACTTTAACTTATTTTTTCCATAGTTTTTTATTTTTCTAATTATTTTGTAAATTTAGGTTTCTCGTTGTCTTGAGTCACCTTTTTTAACCAGGACATTGTCGCAGCGGAGAATGACATTTTTTCCCTTGCCCTGGGTGTTTTAGCATTTAACGCTTGATTTATTCGCTCTAATTGTTCACAATACCCTCTCGTCACCGTATTATAATTGGGTAGCATTTCGAAACGGGCCACTTCTTGCCTATTCAACGGAGGAGCTGCTCCTTCGGCTTCTTCTGTGATGAAAAGCCGTTCCCCAAGTGGGTTTCACGTACAACAAGAACGTGTTTTCCTGCATCGAGGGCGAGAACACAGTTTCCAATTGATTCAATTGGATTTTCCGACCAGTTTCTCCAAGTAGATAATTTTTTTGTATACAAAACAAGGGAATAATTTCTTCCCACCCTAGAAATTTGATAATACTGCCATGTACTGTAATACTAAGTTGCTTTTTGACCTCGGTCCGCATTTCTATTATGAATAAAGAAAGACGAAAAAAGATTGGGTTTAATAGCTGACCACTTTCTTATATATCTAATTATTATTATAAATATTATATATTATATAAATCTTATAAAGTGTGAAGATAATTTAACTTAATGACTGGACTTAGTAAGGTATTGGTCGAGATAAAAATGTCAGTATCACGAGCGGGATTCGAATCCATGATCTTCGGCTTGATACGCCGCTGCTGTACCACTTGAACTATCGCTCTATCTATAGCTCATGCTGGTTCGAATCCCGCTCGTGACACTGACTTTTTTATCTCAACCAATACCTTACTTAAAGATTAATTGAAAAGAATATATTTGGCCATTCGGACCTAATCGACTGGACTTAGTGTTGTTGGCGGGGAGAAGATCCTGTAATTTGGACCTTACCGATCATTCAGCACACAACTGTCACAACAACAACAGCACCCACTACTACTACCAAGGAAACTACTATACTCCCACAGTTGTGCAACTGTAACAGCTATTACAACTTCTTATACTTCTAATATTACCTCAACAAACCAAAGGAACAAGTGCTATTATATCTATTGCATTTTTATACCAACCAAAATAACAACTACAATACTTTTAACACCACTACTGCAAGAAAAACTACTTTTATTTCAACTGCAATTGCGGTTCTTACATCTGCTTTTTACCACGACAACAACTACCTCTACTTCAATTGAAATTACAATTCTTATTCTTCTTCACGACGTCTACAAAAGCAACAATCACAATACTAATGCAATTACGATGTTATTTTTACTACTATCACTATCACAACGACGACAACAACGACGAAAAACCACCACCTCCACTACTACTACTACTATCCCAATAACAACTACTACAATTTCTACACTAGTACAATTTTTACTTTTCTTACACCAACTGCGACTTCTACCAAAACATTTATTATTTTTACCTCCACAAAGTAGTACTAACTTCTACTGCAACTATTGCTATTTACTAAGATTACTGCGACTTAAAACCTATTGTTATTATTACTACGACGGCTGCCACTCATATGTGATGGTATGCTTGTTGATTAATGCACTAAGTTATTATCTAGATGTCTTTCGAAGTACAAGAGATTCATTGTTTTCTTTTGGGACTATTTGTAGAGTTTAACACAGTAAAATTTATAAAGGACACCCAAAGCCGTTCCCAAGCAAAAAAGAGGTGTTGATCTGCAAATGGCATTCAACCCACTTTTATCAAGTGGCGTTCATCGCATAAGAAAAAAAAGGTGTTGATCTGCAAACGGCATTGAACCCACTTTCATCAACTGGCGATCATCGCATAAGAAAAAAAGGTGTTGATCTGCAAACAACATTCAACCCACTTTCATCAAGTGGCGATCATCGCATAAAAAAGGTGTTGATCTGCAAACGTCATTCAGCCCACTTTGATCATCATGTGGCGATCATCGCATAAGACAAAAGGTGTTGATCTGCAAACGGCATTCAACCCACTTTCATCAAGTGGCGATCATCGCATAAGAAAAAAAGGTGTTGATCTGCAAACGACATTCAGCCCACTTTCATCAAGTGGCGATTATCGCATAAAAAAGGTGTTGATTTGAAAAATAACCTTCACTCCACTTTTATCAAGTGGCGATCATCGCATAAGAAAAAAGGTGTTGATCTGCAAACGGCATTCAGCCCACTTTTATCAAGTGGCGATCATCGCATAAGAAAAAAGGAGTTGATCTGCAAACGGCATTCAGCCCACTTTCATTAAGCGCGATCATCGCATAAGAAAAAAAAGGTGTTGATCTGCAAATGGCATTCAACCCACTTCATCAAGTGGCGATCATCGCATAAGAAAAAAAGGTGTTGATCTGCAAATGACATTCAGTCCACTTTCATCAAGTGGCGATCATCGCATAAGTTTTTTTAATTTTGATTCGTTTGAAATGGACTTCCACATTATTTTAAATTTTAACATTCAAGTCGAATATTTAATTTTTTAAATTAATACCAAGTTCGTTTTGCAATTTGTTTGTTTAATTTTTGATTAATGTAAGAATACCTTTCTTTTAATAACTTATTCTCCACAAATACTTTGTTTCCTCTTCTTTTTTTGCTAGTATCATTAGTTTTATTGTGTTTCGTTATTAATAATTGGTCAGTTTTCTTTTTCAACAACAATTAATTATGTTAATTTCAAATTGATAACATTAATTCAAAGTTTGTTTGATATTTCATTACAAGAATTATTTTTGCCTTATAAATGTTCTTTTTGTTTATTCATATAAATACTACTTTTCTGACATTTCAGATTTATTCAAACAAGGAAAAGATTCACTCGAACTGGAAAAGATATAAAAGTAAGACAAAAAGTTAAAAAACAAAACAAATAGATGTGCTAAATGAGCAGAGCTATGAGATAAATACGAATAATGTTTGTAAATAGCAACATAATACTATAGTCAGAATTTTTGCAATTTGAAAGATATTGAAAACATTTGGAATTGAGTAATATTTGCTTGTTCTACTTTGAGTATTATTGGGCGCAATTATAATTTTTCAGTGATAAAATTACATTTCCACCAAGCCATGAGCTTTAGCTAGGTGTCTTTTTGCTTATACTTCCCGCGCGATTATTGCGTCTCTTGTGAACTTTCGGGTCCGGCCGATTCATAAACATTTTTTTTGCAACACACATCTCTCACGGTTATAACCCTCCGGGGCGATTGCGGCATGGGGGCTTGCGGCAATCCATTGTTTCACCTTTTGGGATTTACACGTTTCTATAATCATAACGCGGGAGCGTGCGAACCTAGAAAGAAAGTAAATATTCTGAGCTGGCGAACCTGGGATAAGCAGTTCGCAGGTCGTTGGCCAGCTTGGTCAGAAGGTCCGTCGCAGTCGCGAACTGCCGCAGTGTCATTTCCTCCTTGTTCTGCAGAGGTGCAGGGGGCGCTGCTCCCCTCCTCGTCATAAGGCCGGTCAAGTAGTCTTCCGGGTTGTAGACAGGTGGTCGCCAATGGGTCTGGAACAATTAAATCGTCATCATATAATCTTCTTCCGACATAAACGATATCACTATTCCCGAGTTATTAGTATGGCTCGTTAATGTTGAAATTCTCGTGAAAAAACTTTACGATAGTATGAATTTTCAACTCCACTTAAACCAAATAACAGACAGTTATCGTCTTACTTGTTTGCAGAACAATTTCATTTGGTCGAAGAGAAAATAATGCAAGCTTTTTTCACCCGACGTTTGAGAACTATGTATTTTACGATTCTGTTCCTTCTTACAAAATAATCAAGTTTGATGTATTATATTTTAAACAAAATTTTGTAATTTAATACGGCAAATTCAATATAATTTCATACAGGAATGAATTCACTTTATCACAAGTGATTTGCAAAGTAGGTAATTCTCTTGAGGCTTTAGATTTTGTACTTCAACCCAAACTAATCAACGATTTGGCATAAAATTATTTAAATTGTCGAGAACGAAAAGGTCGATTTAATTGAAGTATTAATCTTAACGAAATAAAATTAACTAAATCTAACTTTTAACATAATGCATTTATGTTTTAGTGGTCAATTGATCAAGTTACTTCTTTCAATATTATTTGTATGTAAGGTCTTGGTTGAGATAAAAAGACAGGGTCATGAGCGGGATTCGAACCCACGATCTTCGGCTAAATACTCTACCACTTGAGCTATCGTGACTTCGATCCTCTCGGACACCAACTCTCCATCTCAACCTCACCGTTCGAATTTTCCCTCTTTTTGTCATTTTTCAAATGTCGTGTAATCAGGATTGGATTCTCAGCGGCTTAAGAACGGGGAGCTGTTTAGTGAAGTGATACTTCTTTTACTTATTAATTATTAATCCATTTATGTTTTAAGTGGCAAAAAGGTTCGAACGGTTGAACGTTGAGATTGATAGTTGGTGTCCGAGAGGATCGAAGTCACGGAGAGCAGCGTCGTATTTAGCCGAAGGTCAAGGGTTCGAATCCCGCTCGTGACACTGACTTTTTATCTCAACCAAGACCTTACATACAAAGAATAATTAATTGAAAGTTTTAACATAATTACGATTTATGATTGTGGAGTGGCCCAGTTTAATGCACCATTAAAAACTAAACGGTCTTGGTTTTTCAAGAATAAACCTTTTTTCACATGCAATATGCAATGTAATATAATAAAATATTTAGCTTTTATTAAAAGAGGTTTTGAGTTTCAGATGAGGTCAGCAGCTCATTTCCGCGGACATGAGTCTTCGCGTAGTCATCCCGTCGTAACCGCTATAATTTTAAAATTTACCTACTTCTCTGCGATATTCCGACGCAATTTGGCTAATGGCATAATGCAATGGCGTGATTTTTGATTCACGATTTTCTCTGTTTGAAAAAAAAAAGACGGAGGAGTAACAAGTCATTCTTACTATAAAGAAAGGGGGTCAAAGCTAATTTCAGCCAGAGGTGATTGCACCCTTCGTCGATGCACACCTAATTAAACAGTATTAAAACGGATTTTGTATTTTTTTCACGAGGAAGTGCTTGATTCCACATACGGATGGTTTTTTTTTGTCTTAGGATTTAAGTAGATTAGATGGGAAACCATTTTTGAGAAGCACTTAGCCGAATGTGTTTTTTTTCTTTTTCTCGAGGTAACACATTGCGTCAAGGACCATCTCATATCTTTCTCAATCCTCCCCCTGGCTCCGCTTCTATTTTTTTTCCAGGCTTGAGAAGGAGAAACAATGCTTTGGAACAATCCAATCTAACAGTACAATTATTCCCTGGGAAGGTTGATGCTCCACTCGATTGTTACGAGCGGATGAATTATTCAGGAGTGCTGTCCGCAATTATGAGCTAAAGAGGTAGGAAGGGAAAGAGATAAAAAGAACGCCTTTTTATCTTTGTATAGTTTCCTGTAAAGCGATTGGATTAGAAAACACTTAAAATGGGCTTTTCTTCGAAAAACCTAGGCACACATTTAAAAACATGACATTTTAGAACTTGACAAGATTAATCGTGAACAGAGTAGAGAGAATTCGCCTCTGGGTATCTCATATAACTAGGAACTTAGCGATATAACGATAGCCTGACGTGAAAATTGTCTAATCCAAATGTGTTTTAATATTTAGCCAAAAACACTTTTGAACTTCATCGCTTCATCACACCAGAGGCTCATCGCAACTCTTATGGCAGATAGTAGATGATGGGGTTTGGTCTGCGAGTTGGCGAACTCATGTTGAACCGGCACACGGGCACTACTGGGTCTGTCTTCACTCGCGGGTTTTTTTTGTTTGAGTTATTCGTATCTTCGGCTTGATACGCCGCTGCTCTACCACTTGAGCTATCGTGACTTCGATCCACTCGTACACCAACTTCCCATCTTAACCCCACCTTTTGAATTTTCCCTCCTTTTTGCCATTTTTCAAATGTCGTGTAATCGGATTGAATTCTCAGCGACAAATGAAAAAAGGAGGGAAAATTCAAAAGGTGGGGTTGAGATGGGAAGTTGGTGTCCGAGTGGATCGAGGTCACGATAGCTCAAGTGGTAGACAGCGGCGTATCAAGCCGAAGATCGTGGGTTCGAATCCCGCTCGTGCCATTGACTTTTTTTATCTCAACTCAAAACCTTAATTCATTAAGGAGTAAAGATTTTCCGGCCTTGTTTTTAAGTAGGCTCGGGATTTGTTTTCATTTCTATATATACAAAACTTGCTCAAAATCGAGCCGAGAGTAATTTCAATCAGATTCTACTGTGTACAGCTTAAGAATTGTTTTCGTTTTCTGTAAGGTTGTTGATAGAGAAATAAATTTTTATATCAGATTATTAACAAATTTGCATAGACAATGATCAACCTGGATGTCTCGTTTTTATATATAATTTATATTCAGCCGTGATTTCATATGCATAATCAATAGAATACAGTAATTGGGCTATTAACAATTAAATTCGTTAAGAACCTGACTATAAATCATACGGTTTCGTTTATATACATGACAACCCTTCCTTAGATATCACGGGATTTTCGAGGTTACATTTTTTTATATCACTTGGTGAGAAATTCTTTCTATTTCTTCCAATTGGATCAGAAGAGGATCTCGAGGATCGTTTAAAGATGTTAATCATTCATGATTAATATGATCATGAACTGAATACAGTTAGTGTTGATTATTCGGAGATCTTGAGATGCGGTCTGGTGTGACGTAGGTTTTAGAAAAACATTTCTTTATCGTGCCAACGTTTCGACCTTTATTGAGATCATCTTCAGAGCTCAAAGTGTTTGTTTTCCGTTTAGATGTGTGTTGAGAGCGCCCACGACACATAAGAATGACACATCTATACGGAAAACAAAAACTTTGAGCCCTGAAGATGATCTCAATAAAGGTCGAAACGTTGGCACGATAAAGAAAATGTTTTTCTAAAACCTACGTCCTTTTGCCCAGGAAGGAAAATAAATAAAAATTTACATCCTTTGAAGCAGATTTTACAATAGTTATTGAAAAATGATCAACCCCCCCTGGCCTGGCAACTGTCATTCTTTTGGAAGTGAAAGTTGTCGACATGTATCAGCTTTCATTTAATGCGGTTGATGGTTCACTTAATGCGGTTGGTCATCATCCCTGACACACCGTTATTAAAATTTCATTTGGACTGTAATATATCGGAATGAAAAAGTAGCATTTTGGATTTTTACACGGACAATAGACTACAATTAATTTCCAAAAAATTGTCACTCGGTAGGTTAATGGGCTAGGTACTCGATAGATTGACAGAATTTTCTTTCTAAAAATGTATTTTATCTTATTTTATGATATTTAAAATTGGGCACGCTTTTATAATTTGGAACATGTTATTTCATTTGAATTAATAACCTTATTTGCGTTTGGAGTACGAGAGATAGAAAGAAAGAAAGAGAGAGAGAGAGAGAGTGAGAGAGAGAGAAAAGAAATAGAGGGAAAGATAGATAGATAGAGACTGAAAGAGATAGAGAGGGAGAGAGGGAGATAGAGAGAGAGAGAGAGAATGAAAGAGAGAGAGAGAGAGTGAGAGAGAGAGAAAAGAAATAGAGGGAAAGATAGATAGATAGAGACTGAAAGAGATAGAGAGGGAGAGAGGGAGAGAGAATGAAAGAGAGAGAGAGAATGAAAGAGAGAGAGAGAGAGAGAGAGAGAGAGAGAAAAGAAATAGAGGGAAAGATAGATAGAGACTGAAAGAGAGAGAGAGGGAGAGAGAGAGAGGGAGAGAGAGAGGGAGAGAGAGAATGAAAGAGAGAGAATGAAAGATAAATAGATAGATAGAAAGAGAGAGAGAGAGCGAGAAGAGAGGATAGTAAAAAGAAATTAGAAAATCCGTTGGACATCTTTATTACATAGTAGATGTGACTAAAGTTGATTTCAAACAACAAAAAGACCCAGATAAAAAAAGGTATGAGAAAATAAGTATTTTAGAAACGGATATGGCAGTTAGCGATTCGAAAGTGCTGAAATTTCAAGTACGAATGAAAGGAAAGATCATCGTTCGTCCCGGTCATTTTCACCGTAGGTCCAGTTAGTGTAATGATGATTGTCCCACGGCCATTCAAATGCTACACCTCAGCAGTGGCTTCTCAATGTGGGGCAGGGAGATTAGAGCCTCTGAGCAAACAGGTTCTGTAATTTACGATCGAATCCTCACACTTCCTTATCTACCGTTAGGATCGAACTGGTCCCCGCATCCTCATCGGTTCCCTCCAAGGGGGACGTTCCGGTCTGGGGAGTGTGAACAAAGGGACGGCCGGGTGATTTAATTGCTCCTCCAGGGTCAATGGAACGACCGTCCTCGGACACAAGGCACAGTCGAGTTCCGGGGTCGGAAACGCGAGTGTCTTACTTCAACTTCAAGTCCTTTGGTGCACTAAACAAATTAACTCGGATTGAGTCATAATTGAATTCTTTCTTAGCTGTAAGAGCTGAGGATCGCTTATGGCCTATGTTTATTTACCAATTGGGTTTTACTTTTTATTACTAGGTTTTACTT